AATACTTGAAAACCATCAGTGATGTTGTCAGCTAGATCTATCTTATTATACATGTAACAGACATATAAAATGAGGCCAGGTATGGTGGTTTAAGGCTCTAACCCCAGCTACTCCAAAGGAGAAAGTAGGAAAAGTACAGTAACAAAGCCACATGGGTAAATGTGCAAGATCCTCTGACAACAAACTAAACCAAAAAGAAATAGAGATGTGGCTCAAGACGTAGCGTGCTTGTGAAACAAGCATGAGGCCCTGAATTAAAACCCCAGAACCAACCACTAAAAGAAAGCTTTTTTTAAAAATTGCTTTAATATTGTATTATGCAGACCAATAATCTATGCCTGTGGACTCTTGGGCTTGGTCAACACATGAGGGTTGTCTTTTCCTGGCTGTCTTTTCAGGGGTGTAGATAATAGACAAACTGCGTTGCTGAAAGGCAGCCGATTTACTTAGCAGGTGCCTCCCCTTCCCCCAGAGGTGCAAATCAAAAAATCCATGAAATACTGCTGGTTTTCAGATTCTGTCTTACTGAAAATAAAACAAAGGTCTCAAGAATCAATTGGAAAATGTTGGATTATGTTCAGAATTTAGTGAGGCACCCAACAGATTATTATCTGAACCACTTTGTGCCCTGAATTGTTTTTTTTTAAAAAAAAAAAACAAAACACTTGGTTTGCAGAGATGCACTTAAGAAATCTCTATGTTCAACATAACAATGTACCCATGCAAATATTTAATCATTAGAATATAATCAACATTATTCCAAGAAAATGAGGGTCAGAAAACATACTCCTTATTTACATTCTTCACTTAAAATGGATAAAAATGTGTACCTTCTATAATAGCCAACTTTTAAAGCAGATGTTAAAATTAAATGATTATATTAGTACATGCTTCTCTAAACATATGTGAAGAATCCACTGATTTTTCTCAGCATTATGAACATCTCACTGAAGAATTATAACATGAAAATTTTGGATCTCAAGGTGAGACTTGGGAACCAATGACTTTCTGAACTTGAACTCTCTTATTTATCCAAAGACTCCTGTGTTATTTGTGACTTAGCGCTTTTCATTCCAAAATTTGGCCTGCATGTTATACAGGCATTGGAGCCAGCAAGAAGAACTGGTAAGCTTTAGTGCCCTTATTTTCCTGAAGAAGAAGCAGGTATCTAAGTCTTATTGATTTGCCTATAGTGATTCAGTGAATTGGCAGAGAATAGAGAATAAAACCAATTTCCTGGCATCATTTTTCCATGTACACAAACCCTTATCTAGCAATGGCTAGACTGGAAGCCAAGAATCCATCTTAGAGAATTTGATCAGAAAACATATGTAGGGTAATTCTAAAACCACAGAAGCATTGAAAACGTCATAAAGATGTATAATATATGATAGCATTTACCAGCTATAAATAGGGGAGGTGCAGAGAGAAAAATAGAGACCTTGTAAATCCACTGGGTAAGGAGACATAGAAACTACTTAATATTTCATTAAAAATGGATTTCCATAAATTGCACTTTAGGTGAGAGAATATGTAAGGACTGAGATGTTGTTATTCATTACTCTTGGTTATTAATAATTTGAACTGTTATTGAACCAACACATCAACAAGGTGTATTCTCCCTGTGAATGGAGCACTTACCATGTGTTCTGGGCGCTATTGAAAGTCTATTAAAAAAATCCACATCACTTGTCCATAAAAGCACTTAAGCTATAAAGGACAGTAGGCAACTAAAATGCCCTATTACAAAGTGGACACTCTTAGAGGACTTCAAACTACAAAACACGTGCAGAGAGAAGCTTTAGAATCTTGGGACCAAAGAGGAGGTGAAAATCAACTCAGGGAATCCCCTCTTTTTACAGAGGAGGAAATTGGGATCTGAGGGAGCTAGAGATATTTTCCCACCTTATGAGCCAGTTAACAACAGAGCCGATCACCTGGCCACTTTTGATTTGCTTTTTGTTTTTCCTGCTGATACTTGGGTTGGAACTGAGGGCCTTATGCCCTCTCTCACTCAGCTTTTTCCATTCCAGCTCAATTTTTACTGGTTAATTGGAGATAAGATTAAGGATTTATCCATTCATGTAGGCTTTGAACCATGATCCTCAGATCTGAACCTTCCAAGTGTTAGGATTACAGGCACGGGCTCCTGGCTTCTGATGGAGTCTGATAGAGTTTTGTTTTCTTTATTTCACTCTGCTATAGGCAGAGGGAGGAGCATGTGGGAATTTGAAGAACGTGGTGCTCATTCAGTGAAAGGTCTAGACCACAGAGGGCAGATATAAACACAAGGTCAAGAGCAAATGAAAATCAGTACAGAACTAGACTTGGTACCATGAAGAATAACTGGAGGCCAAGAGGCTTCCTTTGATTCCAGGGGTGGAGAAGCCTGAGCCAAATGGAATGACAGAACAAAGTTCCATCTGAGCTGCACACACATGGCCTAGGGAAGATCAACTTGTGCTTGTCTCCCTTCCTGTTGATGCCACTGTCAGCAGAGATGGAGGGGCTTCCCCAAAGCCTGTAGCCACACACATCCAGCAAAACTAGCCTCCCTCTGGTAGGATGCTCGAGTGCATGTGTCCCCGTGCTCCACACGCACAGCCAAACTGCCCTCCCAAAGACAGTCCATCTCTGCAACCGTTTTCTTACTGAGGGAGTGTAGAAAAAGTTTCCTGTCGTTGTCTGCCAAGGCTGAGAAATAAGAGGGTCAGCTAAAATAAAATTGGATATTAAAAACACATAAGGCATGCTGTGTTTCTAAATGGTGCCAGCAGGGTGTGTTGCTGTAAATTAGCAGCTATGTGCAAGTTCAAATCCACTCAGTTCTCTGATTCTGTATTCATATGACAAACAAAGCTTTTTTTTTTCCATGACACAGACTCCTTAGCATCTCCTGATAGTGGCCACACACACAGTCACCATCACCACCCTTGGGGAGTGTCCAGAAGTGGCCCCCTGCTCACAGTACCCTTCTGAAATCAGCCAAGTACTTCATTTGCTTCTTTCTTGCCAAAACAAAACAAAACAAACAAAAAAGCCTCTGTCTCCTGCTGAATTCTAGGAGAACTGATTCATCTCTTTTCCTTGGATTCTGTTCCTCCTGCCCTTTCCTCTGTGGAGCCCTTTATCAGCATGAAGGAAGCAAGAAATAGGAATGGTGACATCAGGTTTTTTCTGGGCCCTGTTCCCTCTTCTTTTGGCCATCCCTCTCAGAGAAACTCAAGAGAGTAAGGAGCTCCCTGAATAGGCCTTCTTCTGGGTGTTTGGCACTAGCTCTCTGTCCACCCATTTTCTTAGCTTTCTCCTTCTCTCACTTTCTCTAGAGCAAGGAGTTGGGTGGATTGAGTGGGAGTCCCTCCACTTCGTCGGGCTTAGCACTAGAAACATTGCCTGAAATAACTGTGGACTGATAAACTCCTGTTTCCTTCTTTGTCTTGAGCAAGCCACTTCCCTTCATTTGGTTCCAAAAGCATAATATTTCTCACTTTGTACTGCCCACCCATAAGCTTAGGAAATGGGAAATATAGAGAGTTCAAGATTGCTAAATGATGGAGTTAGAAGTTCATGGAAAAGAAAAGACAATGTTGTTAACTGCATCTAAACTATGCTGCTCTTTCCTGTTACTCAAAGCCATTCTGTGGTGGGATGACAAACACACACTGGGATCACATCACTGGACAGAGGCCTTGCTTCCATTTAGCCAATGATTAGAGCTCAGGATAGAAGACTCTGTGATGTCCAGCTCTCTGCATAAATGCTGTGAATCAATCAAAATAGATGAGTCAGCCTAGCAAATCACAGATAGAAAGTCTGTGGGCCAGAAGCACCTTGGAGCCTGTTTCCTCATCAACGAAGTAGAAATAATACCTCTTGGAGTGTTGTGCACATAGTTATATAAAGACAGAATCTGCCTTAAAGGTACTCAAATACCAACTTTCTCTTCTTTTCCTAGCCCTGTTAGTGCTTTAAACACTTGACATATCCTGGAACTAGAGCATCTAGTCTCCCTAAGCAGGTGAAAGCATTCATTGGGGAAGAGTTGCCTATGAGTACATTTTCAGGGTGCCTTAACTGTTACAGAAATGGACCATGACTTCGTTCAGGGGAACGAAGAGAAACTCACATATACTTAGTCCAATTATTTTTGTTAATGAAGATTTCACATACACACAAAAAAAACCCATAAGGTCCATATGGCAGTTATTGATTTGGGCCATCTGGTATGCCAGAGCTTGTGCCTACCATGTTGATCAGAAGCTATTCCAAAAAGCCGTTCCTCCCATAAGGGATGTATTGGTCAGCTGGGGATGGGGATGGATTTCATTACAGGGTGGGGACTATTGTGAGAGGAAGCCAGAGCAGGACTCCAATGAACTGTCTGTAACCCTGACCTTACAACAAAGACCAGAGAGCACCACAAAAGTCTTGACTGACAATGGGTGCACTGGAGGAAGATGGTGCCCCTTTTCTGATCACTTGCTCATGGAATGGGAAAGCATCTTCAGTAACTAACAAAAACAATCACAGAGGATTTTTAAGTATAAAATCCCTTGTAAATATCCCAATATGCAGACAAGATGAGGTGGAAAGAGTGTCAGGTTCAAGCTAGAGGATAAATTCTGCTAACTCCCCCCACTCCCCAAAATGGCATGCCCATTTCCTTTGTAATGGTTATTCTACATCATCCTCTCTTTCTTAGCTTCTGAAATTGTTTTTCTTTTCACGGCTCCTTCCTCTCAGGCCAGAGGCAAAATGTCCTTTTCCTCTAAACATTTTTGTAAAGACCATTTATTGTTTTCAAGTTGCAACACTGTAAGAAATTAATTTTTTCCAGTGTTTCTAAAAGAAAGCCCTAAACAACAAATGCACTGATTATTTTTAACCTGGAAGAAGATAAACCTCAAGAGAACTTTCCCACCCCTTCAACAACTCCTCAAGCACCAACACTACAGACAAACAGGGTTTTCAGCAATGTGGTTTTGAATCTCACGTTGCAGGTATTTCAAGCCAACAACGATGCAACAGAAGTGGTTCTGAACAAACTCCATACACCACTGTTGACGAGGTTCATCAGGATCCGCCCTCAGACCTGGCACTCAGGCATTGCCCTCCGGCTAGAGCTTTTTGGCTGCCGGGTCACAGGTAAGGTGGGCCCTCTTTAGAAACTGCATGTCTACCCCATGTGACCTTCCCAAAAGTGTTACCTCAAGAATTCAAGCCCTAGAAGACTTAATCTTTTCATGAATTCTTGGCCTAGGCACTGTCCCTGAGATTTTTTTTTTCCCCTCAAGGTTAACACTTTACCACTTGAGCCACAGTTCCACTTCTGGCTTTTTGGTAGTTAATTGGAGATTAACATACTTTCCTCATATACTTTCCTGCCCAAGCTGACTTTGAAAACAATCCTCAGATCTCAGCCTCCTAAGTAGATAGGATTCCAGGCGTGAGCCATTGGCACTCAGCCATCCAGTATATTTTATTAAGCAAAAGAGGTAGATCACCCACCAATAAACAGTAGAGAAAGGTTCTGAGCCTAAACACTCTGCATCTCAGCTCTCAAGTAGCACTCTCTGCTGCCCCGTATGGGGACTGAGGGCTGAACGTAGTGTGTGGGCATAGCGAATCTCTTTCTTATGGGCCTGGGACAAGGCCGGCAGACAAATTAATAGGAAGCCCATACATAAATGTGAAATCAAAACTATGATAATGCTGGAAACGGGCTCATGGTCAACAAAGAGTTCAAGAAGGACTTTCTTGAGGAGCTGATATGCAGGTTGGCGGTCAGATAGGTATTACTTGGAGGAAAAGTGTACATGTTGGTGATGACAGCTAGCTCCATGGCAAGAGGAACAACAGAGAAATTAAGATATACATATATACACATATGCATATATATGTATGTGTACACACACACACACATATATGAAGGAAAACCCAGGGTACCCACGTAGGATGAAATCATCTGGAGAGGACCAGAGTGGCAACCAGGATACCATTGTAAACCTGGCACAGTGGTATGGAAGAGAAACAATAGTATGGAATTAGTGCTACTGATGGACAGTCTGGCACCCTTCATCTTGTAGATTCTGCCCAGGGTAGGCAGGTTGCTTCTTTGATCTGGAAGGGTCTTCAGTGTATATCCACCCACCTGCCTGTGCCCTAGTCATTTCAGCCCCAACAAGAACTGCTCCATAGCGTAACCCTGTTTGAGATTCCTAGTTCAAACACCTTGCCTTCATACAGTCTCTGTGCCTTCATGTCTCTTTCATATATATTCTTTGCCTGATCATCCTAATATCCCTTTGAGGTGAGTGGGGGCAAAGGCTCATTTGGAAACAGAGCCTCAACAGAGGCAGCAGCTTGACCCAAATCACCCAGGTAGGAGATGGCAGAAGCAGGGCCTGCACCTGCATTTTCGCTATACAAATCCTCTGCATTTTTCACCTTTATACAAAGACCGAGCTCTTAGATTAATCCCAATCCTGAGTAAGGGACTGCCCCTTCCATATTGTTGTTTGGGGATAACAAAGGCTAGCTAGCAAGGATCTAATTGAGGATCATTTCCTGGAAGACTGAAAGCAAAACCCAGTGAATTTGAAGAAAACCTGGAGGACCATTCTATCTGCAACTTAGTTTGCAAACAAAAGCATGTTTGCTGTTAGACCCTATACTGCATGGTACCATGATTTATGAATTACCCACTCACTCCTTCACTTCATGAAGGCACCTCCACACCAAGCATGAGGACAGAAAAGTGAACAAAAAGATCTCTAGTATCATGGGACTTTCAGACTACAGGCATGATCAATATTAAGCAAATATAAGCACTCATTATTCTACCCCAAAGGTGGGTGACACGGGAAGAACGGGGTATTCGGAGAAGTGACTGGGGATTAAAAGAAGGGGGGCAGCCTTTCTGAGGATGTGACCTTTATGCCTTAGGATAAATGAAGACTGAGAGGAAGAGCATTTGGGACGGTAGGAACAGCATGTGGATAGGACCCAAGGCAGTAGAGAGTTATGACAGCACCTAGAGAAGGAAAAACACACCTGATGCAGACCCCAGGAAGGTTCCCATCTAGTAAGCAAAACGATCCCCCAGGATATAATTCAAGGCGTGGCTGAGCGTCCTTGGTTCTCATTGAAGGGGCAGCAGGCATTGGATACTTAGGCAGGCATTATTATAAGAGCTACCAGAGATTGTCTAATAGCATTCTTACAAAACTCCCATGAAGTAGGTGCTGCTCTTAGTTCCCTTTTAGACCTGGGCAAACTGAGCCATGGGACAATTAAATAATTTGTTCATCCCGCTAGAAGATGACAGAATGACTATGAAACCCAGGCAGTCTGGCTCCTAGTTCAGCTCTTCCATCTGTGTATATGACCTCAGATCACAAAAGCCCGTGGCTGATCTAAAGCATTTGATAGCTGGCTCCTTTTGCAGCTCCCTGCTAATGGAAAGTGTCTCCAGTTAGTGAGGTGGGGGGTGGGGGTGGGGGAGGGGGTGTCAACCATGACCTCTTGTATTTTCCTTCCTTCTCCACAGACGCCCCCTGTTCCAACATGCTGGGGATGCTTTCAGGCCTCATCGCTGACTCCCAGATCTCTGCCTCCTCCACCCGTGAGTACCTCTGGAGCCCCAGTACTGCTCGCCTGATCAGTAGCCGCTCCGGCTGGTTCCCTCGGATTCCTCAGGCTCAGCCAGGTGAGGAATGGCTTCAAGTGGACCTGGGAGCACCCAAGACAGTGAAAGGTGTCATCATCCAGGGAGCTCGTGGGGGAGACGGCGTCACTCCGGTGGAAGCCAGAGCATTTGTGCGCAAGTTCAAAGTCTCCTACAGCCTAAACGGCAAGGACTGGGAATACATCCAGGACCCCAGGACCCAGCAGCCTAAGGTAGGTAGTTTTGGGAGGATTCAGTGATGTACCAGACAGGGATGCTAAGTAGGGCAAAGGGAGTTGAGGGTCCTGGTTTCCCATCAAACCCCAGAAATGCAGTAAAACAAGTACCCTATGTGACAGACAGGGTCCTTAATCTCCACAGCCATTCTGCAAGGCTGATGCCTTGCTAACTCCCATTTTAGGGATGATAAAACCAGGCTCTCCATCATTTCACTGAGAGTTGAGCTTACTGTTAGCTGAGCCCACAATTCAGAACTTGTAAGTCTGATTACAAAAAGATAAATAACCACTACTCAGCATGGCCTATTTATAATAAAGTTGAACGCCCTTCACACCTCTTTCAGATAAAGTTTCCCTGAAATTGGCCAGACATCGTGAGAGGATGTGGTTATACTGGAGGTTCACTTCCAAAAATAACGTTTCCTGAAGGTTGCTGTGCTCCTTTGTGTTCTTAGAGTCGTGACTGCTCAGATCTTTCCCACCTCTCCTGCTGAAGTTGGGAAGAAGGAAACAAAACTTATTCTGGGCCAGAAGTTCAGACTGGTACAGCCCAGATCCTGCCTTCAGAAAAGTGAAGGCCAGTTTCTATGGCAGGGCTCGAAGAGCCCTGAGGAAGGGAGAGGACATCAAGCTCCCCTTCCCCCCTTCCTTCACACTCATCTCATGGGGGAGGGTCAGTCTCTCCAGGCCTTATTTCTAAATGACCTTAGAAGAGCAGAGTGTCTGTAAAGGCAAGAGTTATGGCCTACCTGTGTCAGCCACCCGTGCTAAGCAAGTGCTTCCATTCCAAATGCAGACACCAGGCCTGAGTTGGAGGTTTGGCAGTGCTGATTAAACTCTTCACTACATGGGGCTGGGAAGGTGGCTCAGTGGTAGAGCACTTGCCTTGCATGCCTGAGGCCCTGGGTTCGATTCCTCAGCACCACATAAGCAAAAAGAAAAAAGCCGGAAGTGGTGCTGTGGCTCAAGTGGTAGAGCGCTAGCCTTGAGCTGAAGAGCTGAGGGACAGCACCCAGGCCCAGGGTTCAGGCCCCACAACCAGACCCAAATAAATAAACTCTTCACTACTAACTTCTGAGGCTTGAGAAGACTCAGGACTTGATGACCAGAACTTTCAGTAAATAGAGCAGAAGTTAGATCTCAGGCTTCCCCAGGGAGAGCCCACCCTGGCTCTTCTTAGGAAAAGGGGCCCAGAGTAGAGCCTGTCATTCCAAGACAGTACTTCTCAACTCCCCCTGCAGAATGGCTGCTCCCACAGCATTGTGGAGCATAAGCTGCCACAGCCCCTACCACCCAAACAGTAGCCCTGGCTCTAGGTGAGTGGCTCCAAGGTGCAACTGGGTTGATATCAATAAGAGCAGCTTATTGTCATCAGTTTTATGCATTGGGGATCTAGGTGATATTTCTTTTGAAAGACTTGCTTCTGGTGAACAAAGGTTTAGGAAAATTTCTCAGAAACCAATTTGTGACCAAAGGACAGTATCCGGAGCCTAAAGAAGGGAGTGGTCATTTTCCCTTCAGGCTTTCAATGAACTAGGAACTGTCCATCAACTAATACTTTTGGGGAGATGGTAGTACTGGGATCAATCTCCGGGCCTGACTCATACCAGGCAAGCACTCTACCAGTTGAGCCATATTCCCAACCCATCCAGGGACATTTGAAGCCTAAACTTTCAAACATTAGGAAAAGAAGTTATTTCTCTTTCAGTAAACCAAGGAATTCAGAATGATCAAGACAGCCAGCACTACCTTCCCTTCTCTCTAACCATGTTAGATGTTTCAGTTCCAGCCTAAAGTATACTTACAGCCTAATCTTTCTTAGTCGTCAGTATCTAGTTCAAGATAAAAGACATAACTTGAAAACTGCCATCTTCTTTTCTTTCTGCTTCCTAAATTCCCTATTTGGGGGTCCCTAATGACCTTCAAATGAGTAAAGATCCTAGTCTGAAAATAAAGCTACCTCTGGGTTAGAAGTAAGGGGGTGAAGACAGAATGAGAAAGGAGAGGTCTCCTAAGAGAAGGACTGAGCATCTGTCTCCCTACAGCTATTTGAAGGGAACATGCACTATGACACCCCAGACATCCGAAGGTTCGACCCCGTCCCTGCGCAGTATGTGCGGGTGTACCCAGAGAGGTGGTCGCCGGCGGGCATTGGGATGCGGCTGGAAGTGCTGGGCTGTGACTGGACAGGTAAGGCTGTTTTCCTCTCCAGATCTCACTCACCTGGTCGGGAGAGCACCCAGGTTGTCCTGGAAGGGGAAAGGCCAGCCAGCGCTGGTGAAGACCTGTCACTGGCTCCTTCCATGTTCTTACACCCCTTCTGAACTCAGGATAGTTTCTCAAAGGGATGTGTTTGGTCCTGTTTAAAGGATTGTTTTAGTTCTTCAACCCAGGTCTCTCAAACATAAATCATAACCAACATACTACCCACCCAAATTCAATTAGACCTCCACTCTTCAGGCCAGAGGGCTGTGACTATTGATTTAGGGAAGGAAAAAAAAAAACCCTCATGATAATAAAGTAATCGATTTATGTCTGAATCTGGCCTCCAGATGTTGTGGCCCAGAGACTGCATTTTCGTTTGGAAGCTACATCTGTAAAAGGCATTTATTTGCGCGGGAGGGACCCTGTTCTAGAGGAGCCGATGGGAGCTGGATTTCTTCCCGGTATACAGCCAGAATCTTGCTTATTCCTTCCCCCACCAGGTGGCACTGGCCTGGGGTCCGGCTTCTAATTCTCCCCTAAGGATGAGGCCTGGAGCCCATCTTTCCTTCCCCCCATCCCCGTTGTTTTCCAAGTGAGGGCCCTGCCCTTCTGAGTCAGACCTCACCCTCTTCTCTGGGCACCAGCCCTGCTCTCCCTTTAGAGCTGTCACTAGCTGCCAAAATGAGCTTCAAGGAGCCACCCTGGGCTCAAAGCCCAACCCAGTGCCAGGAGGAGCAGCCAGTAGGCTGAGCTGTGCTGCCCCTCCCCACCAGGGCCCCAGGTATTCCCATTTGCCTGTCTGCACTGTACCTGCCACCAGCTCACCCAGCAGGATGGCATGAAGGATTAATAAGGGCATGTCAGAGAAGTGCTTTTGGCTCCCAGGGAGAAAAGTGTTGCCTGTATGTGGCTGTAGTACACGGAGGAGCCCCATTGAGGCATATAGGCTGGGAACAGGGCCCCAGTTAGCCATTCTCTCCTTGGAATTGAAGACCCTCCCAATGAATACATTCTGGCAGGAGGACTCTTTCCCCCTTATGTAGGGCAATGCCAAGTTCCCTGCTGCCTGCTTAATGTGTCACCTGCCATCCCACACATACTGGCCTCCTAAGACTTGGATTAGTATTGTAGGGGACACAGAAGTTTTCAGACCAGTGGCTTCCAAATGTATTTGACCACTATCCCCAGTTTAAAATAAATTTCTGTCACTACTCTGTTCACTGAGAAACACACCCATACAAGTGTTCATGAGGATATAGCATGTGGTCAAGGGCTTGGATTCTAGATACAGATCGCTAAATTCAAGTCCTGTCTCAGCCATCACTGTCCGCATAACCTCGGGCAAGTGACTATGTCTGTGAACTGGAAAATTGGGGTGATAGTAGCATTGCACCTAGGATGATGAACGTGAAATGCTTAGATTACTGCCTGGCACCTCACAAACCTGTGATTGGTAAATGTAATGGAAAGAAAAGGCGCCCCAAAACAAGTGTTCATCCTTACAATATAAGTACACTCTGAAATATTACAGTTCAGATTTTTTTTAATGCTACTCCTGACCCATTAAATTCATTGCACAACCTATTGATGAGTGTGATGTGAGGTTTGAAAACAAAAACAAATGCACAGAGCAAGATCAACTCTTCCTTCATAGACTAGCACTGAGCCTCAGAGAGAGAAAGAAGCCACTTTACCTTTGGTCACTGAGCTACCTAGGGACCAACTCAAACCTCTCTACAGTTCTCTGTCCTTCTGTGATATGCCTCTCCCAGCCTGGCCCTGCTTTATGACTGCCTGGGGAGTTGCTAATGACCTCTTTCCCCCAATACACCCTGTCCCCTCTCCACTCTGACCCCATCCTGTCCCAAATTGTACTGCCGATAGTGATAGTTAGCAACAGGTTTCTCGTTTCAAAGCCCTCAGAAGATCAGAGTGGAGGCGTGCGACCCTCTGCCCAGCCTCCTTCCCTTTGAAGTCAGACATCTGGTTTGAATTTTGTGGGAAGGCTGCTGTTTGATGGGCAGTTACCTTGGAGTGTCCAGTACAAACAGTGGACAGAGAGACCAGTGCTGTTTTCACTATCAGTGTGTAACTACACACACTGCCCTCTGCCACCCAGCCGGCCCTGAGTGTCCCTGGATTTAACTTTATCTTCACTGACCAACTAGCTGATGTACCCCAAAACTTTCAGAAACTGTGACTTTTTTTTCCTTTTTGAATTTCCATCTATTTCTGTGACTCACCCTGAGTTCACTTTTTCATTCTTCCTTCAAAAAAAAAGTCAGCAGAAAACTAAAGGGCTGAGTTGAGCTGCTGCAGCTAAATAATTTGACAGGGCCATTTCGCCAGTAAGTTTGTTTGTGTTTCAGATGATTACTTCTTGCTTTGCTGCCTGTAGTTTGCTTTACAATTGAGTTGGAGATACTTATGACACAGTGACAAATTTGAACTTACAAACTAGGACGCATTGAGGTTATTTGCTATTTACATTGAACGGGAGGCAGACGTGGTAAAGAGAACTATGAAAGGTTATGTGTGTAGTATTTAATAGCAGAAAGGTAGGAAGTCGACCGTGAAAAACCCATTCAGTGTATTTAGCAATTTCCTTCAGCTCCTGGCTTTATTAAATGGTATCCTGAAGAGTGTCTGACAAAGGCGCCTAATCACATACAATAGCAGCAAGGAGCGTGTATAGAAATGGGAGAAACAATGTACTGACTTCTTTGGGGCATCTTGCTGGAGAGCAGCTCTGGGATGCAGATACCACCCCACACACCTAGAGAACACCAGTTTCCAGAACCCTTCCCACCCCACCCAGCCCTTGACTCATAGCCCCATTCATTCTTTGAATGGTTACTGGATGACTGACTGGCATGAGCAAAGACATAAGCAAATGAATGGATGAGTGAATCACCTAGAGAGCCCCCCCTTCCCCCCCCCCCCCCCCCCCCCGCCACAGCCCCCACCCCCATCAACACTGATGGCCTGCAGCCAGGTTTGGCCTCACCAGGTTTTATGGCTCATTCCTTATTATCACATCTGGGATAAGCTGCCAACATCTATGTGCCTGGAGATTTACACAGGGATTTTTGTGGCTGCTTCGTTGAGGGTTGCATTTTAGAAGAGCTAGCCAGACTGGGCCACCTCCTCTCCAGGCGTCAGTCTGCTGGAGCCAGTCATGGTACCTCCCTTCAGCCAGGCATGCACAGCCCCTGCTGCCACCTTGTCCACCATGCCTTGCTTGCTTCCTTCCCAGCTCCCTTGGTATCAAACCCCCCGCCCCACCCCTGTCTGCTTCCCTTACTGACAGCCACTGTCTGGATACAGCAAGCACCTGAATGAATTTGCCGCACCATGACCTGAAATTACTTTCACCAGGTCTGAATCCCTTTCAATCCGTATTCCCCTCCATGCCATTTGGAGCAGACATGTTCACAAATGGCTGGGGTCTCCCTTCCCACAGTTAGATTTCACTTACGCCTACTGTAGGTAGGCCCTGAGGTCAGACTGCTTTGTAGGGTTAGCCCAGTTTCCAAAAAGTTCCGTTGGGAGTAAAGAGACATAAGGGTGTAAAGAAAGAATCTATATCTGCATGAAATGGGAGTGAGCAGGAAGGTCTGCCCTAGGCATGAAGGGAGGAGGGGCAAACAGGTGCATTTTTACACCTAATGGGGGTTCACTTCATCCATTCAACATAAAGATTTTTCAGACTAGTTTTCATAACCTTGTGTGTGTCCATGTGTGTGTGTGTGTGTGTGTGTATGTGTGTTACTTTCACTCCTGTCTTAAGCAGAAAAGCTGGATGTGGTTCAACCCTGCACTGCTCACCTCCATTATTACCTCTAGTGCTTTTATGCTGCCCTGGGGGCCTCTGTTGTGACCTCTACAGCATGAGCTTGTGTCCATATCTCCATCATAGCTGCTTCTGCAGCGCTACCAGGTTCTCATTCAACTTGGCTGATGCTCAATAAGCAGAGGTGACTTCAGGGCTTGGGCACATGTGTGCATCTTTGTTTTCCTTTTCACAAGACCACCATGGGAGAGGAAAATTCATTTAGGGCATGTTCCCCTTGCTGGGTTGTGGCCAGGCTGCTGCAGCATTCTTTCTTCTTGTTTCCCTTTTATAGACTCCAAGCCCACAGTAGAGACACTTGGGCCCACAATAAAGAGTGAAGAGACCACCACCCCGTATCCCATCGACGAGGAAGCCACAGAGTGTGGAGAGAACTGCAGCTTTGAAGATGGTAAGGATTGGGGTGGCTGTTGTATTGTATCTGAGATGATATGGTTGTGGACCAGCCACAGCCAGGGCTGGTCAGGGATTTGGGGTCCCCCGGTCTAGGGGAATTTCAGAGAAGGCATCAGAGAGGTAAAAATATTCACAGGTTGGGGCAGTGGCTATTTTACCACCAATTTAGAAGCATTCAGATATTGTAACAACCAGTATAGCCCCACAAGTGCAAACCGACTGGTCATTTGGTGAGATGAAGTCTCAGTGTGGGAGCCCTCAGCATCCCTGATTTAAGAATGTGAAAGAAGGGGCTGGGACGATGGCTCAGAGGTAGAGTGCTTGCTTTGCATGCATGAGGCCCTGGGTTCGATTCCTCAGCACCACATAAGCAGAAAAGGCCAGCAGTGGTGCCGTGGCACAAGTGGTAAAGTGCTAGCCTTGAGCTGAAGAGCTGAGGGACAGCGCCCAAACCCAGAGTTCAAGCCCCACAACTGACAAAAAAAAAAAATAATAATGTGAAAGAAATGATTCTTCAATACAATGTATTACATCTTCTATGACTGAGAGCAAGTTGAGGACACAGGCAGAAATAAGAAGAGGCACTCTCCACCAGCTCTTCAAAACATAGGAGATCCTCATTTTTGGATCATTTCTTCACTTGGAAAATCTGTAGTCCTCATTTTATCTTCTAAGCAACATCCAAGTTAGATTAAAAACAGTTATTGGCAGAGCCCAAAAGTAAGTCACATTTTAAATCATATCATTTAGGCCACCAACTAACTATTAGACCATTCCCAATAAGTCACAAATTCTGGAACACCTGGCATTTTTGGATGGAATTTTAAGTTTGACAGCCTCCATTTACAGTAAACTACTGATTATTATTAACTGTTCATTACTGAGTACTATTAACTGTCCATTAAACAAAAGGAGGGAAGACTGGGGAAGGGACTTGAAAATGTAGGGATTTAGTGCGATCTGTCAAACCTGCACACGAAGCCATCTGAAGTGTGTATGGAACTGCATGGATGCAGTGGATGGCTCCCAAAAATGGCTACCAGGAAGAATGGGAGGAAAGCCAGAAATAAATGCTGAAGTTGTGTGGCGGCAACATGATAATTTAATGCATATGCTTTGGGGAATGTGCGTTTGTATAGTGTGTGGGTGGGGAACACAGTTGGTCAGGGTTAGTTGAACACAGAATCCTGACATTTTCATGAACTTGTATTTGTTTCATAAAGAGAAATAGATGTGGAGAATCTTCTAGGTCATGTTTAAGACAGTTTGAGAGCCTAGCATGGAATACATAGGAAGTTAATATATACAGTATTAAATTCACAGAGTTAACTTGCTGGGGTGAGGGACAGAGAAGGAGGGGTTCTATCTAAACAGCAATCCAAAGGAAAATTTAAGGGTTCTGCTGTGAGATTTCAGGAGTTTATTTTTAATACAATTTAACCATTTCTAGTGGTTTGTTTGATTTGAGGTTTCTTTGATAGGCCCTCCTTCCCTTCCCCCCACCCCCTTTTATTTTGTAAAAGATCTTTTTTTGTGTGGACTTGGGTTCCTGAGATACAGTATGCATGTAAACATTAGAGATGAATTATGGTATATTGAATTACTCTATATTTTCAAATGGAAAAATAGACATTCAGAAATTGTGGAGAGAAGGGGATGGCTAGGGCTAAGGGCTGACTTTTCCAAGCCACAGGTTGATGCTTCTATAATAGATTCCATGTGTTTCTGCTCCACTCAAGCTGACGTTGGCCAGGGGTGGGCAAACATTAAATATTCTCCCTTGGGAAGGAGGAGACAAACAGGGTCTGCTGGCAATCTGTCTCCTGCTGCTAAGGTCAGCAGTGTCCTGTCCACCTAGACACCAGCCTAACCCTCCCTTCCTGTCCACAGTGAGCAATTTGTTTCTACCAGTCTGCTGTTCCCTTTAGACGTCCTCACCTGCATTTTGAGCCTTCCTTTCGGAAATTCCTCTCTGGGAACCTAGGAAGGGAAGTGAGAAGGCCAAAGACCCCACTTCCTCCCTGCTACCCGTCAAAGCCACAGCAGGCAGATATCCAAATTTGAGTTCCTATTTCCTTCCTTCCCACCAACACATCACCTCCACTTAATCATGTATTCGGCACTGGCTCATACTAAATTTTTGGATCTGGATGGAGAACCCCAAAGAAACTCTTAGATCAGTCTTTGGACCCAGGCAGGTAACCTTCTAAAGCAGATAATTAGGAACCATTCTATAGTCACTTGTTTGGTTTCTGTGGGGAAAGCATTCTCTGCTTCCCCTGAGATCCTGGCCTTCGGGGACTCTCAATACAATGTAAATATGCTTTTCATCCTGGTGAGCACTTGGCTTGGTAGCCTTCAAGTCTTGCCTCTTCATTTTACTAGCATGTCAAATGGCCCAACCAGAGGTGCCACTCTCTCTATGTCTTCTGAAATAAGAAGTGTAGCACCAAGAGATGAGAAGAGGAGTAAACAAGCTGGCCTCATGGTTGAGGTCACTTTTATTTCACTGGCCAGCACCTCCCAGGCATTTCAGCCTCTCCTCATGCTAATGGGCTGCTCCATCACTTCTGAGAGCCAGGCTGGCAGGAGATGAGATGATCCCTTTTTGGGAGCCAGCCTTCCACTGAGGCACTGGGGAGATATTCTTCTCTGGCATTTAGGGAACAGCAATTTTCACATTTGTCGGCTCTCTGAGGTAGACAGAAGAAGCTGATTAGAGCCTGCAGCCATTTGGTGGCCTCATTTATAATTGCTTACTATGGAAACCACTGGCAGACTTGGCTCTCACGCCTGGGAAGGATGAGACCAAGGCCTGACCCAAAAGCCAGCAATCGCCAAGATGAGTTAAATGAATAAGCAAGGCAGCCACTTCTTTTTGCACTCTCCACTCAGGCCTTGCCAGCCATTTAAATAGCACCACTGTTGCTATTCTGTAGACCCATTGCATTTGCCTTTCTTTCGGATTATTTTTTTTCTCTCTCTCTCCTCCTTTTAGACAAGGATTTGCAGCTCCCTTCAGGATTCAATTGCAACTTTGATTTCCCTGAGGAGCCCTGCAGTTGGATGTATGATCATGCCAAGTGGCTCAGGAGCACCTGGACCAGCAGCACCAGCCCCAATGACCGGACATTCCCAGGTAAGCCCACTGAGGGGGTGATGTCAGATGAAAAGCTAGACTACTCCTCAGTTTTCAGCTGCAAATGCTTTGGAAGCTTTGTCACCTTCCACTGCAGAGAAATTCTTTGGTCTGGGCCCACAAACCACCACATTCTAGCTGGTTGGTGGTTTCCAGCCCCCTCCTGTGATTACAGCATAGCCTGGGATCTAGGAGGGAAGGAGAGAGGGGGGGGAGAGGAAGAGGGAGAGAGGAAAAAGAAAGAAAAGAAAGAAAGAAAGAAAGAGAGAGAGAGAGAGAGAGAGAGAAGGGAGAGAGAGAGGGAGGGAAGGAGGGAAAGAAAGAAAAGGAAGGAAGGAAGGAAAGAGAGAGAGAGAGAAAGAGAGAAGTGTGTGTGTGTGTGTGTGTGTGTGTGAGAGAGAGAGAGAGAGAGAGAGAGAGAGAGAGAGAGAGAGAAAGAGAGAGACAAGATAAAACAAAAAAGAAGCAATTTGAGGTCCTAGGAGATGGGAGGAGTCCATCAGAGTCCCCTTGTCCCTGTCTGCACAGCCTTGGAGGATTATTCCTAAATTGGCTCATTGAGAAAACAATTGGTCTTGACTCTGACACACACTTCTGATTGGTTCCTGGAGCCAATCAAATCAAGTGATTGAAATGTTGTCATGCCCTTGGGCATGATACCCATGCTGTGCCTAGCAGAGTTGTCTGGCACTTGGTCTCAAAGAATTTTTCTGCCAGTCCTTAAATTATTGTTATGCCTACCCTTTGGTTTTCAGAGAACCAGATCTCTGAAGACAGTCCAGCCCTGCTTATAGAGATGGTTGGCGTTTAGACCTTCTAAACATAGAAATAAGAATTGTTTACCATCTCCACTGTCACATGCTTTAACAGTAGCCTTCTGGTAAATGTGTAACGGAATATTTCCAAGGACTGGGGGAGAAAAAAAATCCCAAACATGCTTTATAACATATGCCACTTTCAGTAGTGTAAACACTCGCCACATTTCAGGTTGAGCCACCAAACATACGATTGGAGTTAGAGTTGAGAGAAACAAGTTTTTCCATTTTATAGATACAACAGACCTAAATAACCTCTACAGCAGAGATACTAGTGAAATATATTAAAAGAATCTGCTTGTGTTGGGATTGGTAGTATTTGTTACCTTTCCCATAATTTAACTTTTGGTAATGGTTATATTTAACAAGCTTGCAAAATTCCAGAAAATGTAACAAGCAGCGCTCACAAAGCAGGTATGCATTGGTCCAACATGCCATTCCTTAACTTTCCATTTTCCTGTACCTTCAGCCTGGACCTTAGACACCCCCATAAACATTTGAGGGGAAAGGGGTTAATTGTGGGAATTTAATAGACCAAATGTTGTCAGCATACGATGGAGAAGGGCTAAAATATTAATGTGGTGGGGTCATCTCTATTGACTTCCTCAGAGCTACTCCACGGTAGATCACCCCAAGGGGCCAGTGGTGTCCCCTGTTCCCAGGGGATGTCGATGGGGCTGGCACTAGGAGAACACTTGTAGTCCACCTCCTGCCATGGCCTCCTGCCATAGCCCACACTTGGCTCTCCCAGAGGGTCACAGTGTCTGCTCTGAAGAAAAACACTTTCGCATTTCAAGTGTTTATCTCTTCATCATTTGAGAGGCCACTAGGAGAGATTAGTATCTGAGGACTGCCACTGCCTCAGGCATAGGAGAAAACACTTACCCCAGTCCCAGCCTTAATCGCCTCCCCTTCTCACTCACTGGAATAATGTTTAATTAATATAATGAGCCTCTTGCACATTGGAAAAAAAAATACTTATTTTTATAACCCAGCCTGGATTTTTTCATTTCATTTCCTCTCCTTTGAGACTTCCTTCCCAATTAATTGGTAGTTTTCCCCAACCCCCATCCTTTATCTGACGTTGGGCAGGTTAGTGGGCTGTAGTTGGTGTCTGTATATACATATACCGCATGTCTGTGGAGGAAGGCGTCTGTGATCTCTGTGCATGGCTATTGTCCATGTAATCTTGTGAGGTGTGTGATAAAGGTGCAGCTTGGCACAGCCATTCTGAACCATGGGCTGTTGCACACATGGTCTCCATAGCGTCAGATCTTATTGAGTGTCCATTTTCAGATATTTCTGGCCCTCTCCCTTACACTCTTCTAAGCAGATTTTCTCTAAGAATGTCTGAGGTCAGCCCTGCCCAGACTTCAAGGTCACTACTTTGAAAGTAGTCCTTCTGGATGAGCTTCAGTCACCTCCCTTTGGCCCTGGCCTGTTCTGCTGTTGTCTTTTCCTTCCCTCCACCCCATCCTGGTCCAATCACAGCCCTCACCTGAATGCCCCATTTGTTGACCCTTGCTACTGGTTGGGAATTCTAGTCTTTGTCCTCATTCTAGTTGATTCATTTGTGGTTTGGGCGGGCTTCTCAGAGCTGGCTCCACAAAGCAGGCACAATTCCAACCTTTGGCTGAATGGATCAGGACAGAGAAAATTAAGGCCATAAGGAACTGCTAGATGTAATGTCCTTCAGCCCTTAAGATATTGAGAAGGAAAACAATTATTTTCTTCTTCCAGAGGAGTCCCTGAAGTTTGGAAAAGTGGCACTTGTAACCTGCCTCTGGGACACCAAATCATAATATTGTTCTCAGAGCTCTTCCCTCTCCCCGCCTCTGATGATTTCCAAACTAATTTTCTCTATTTTCCACTTCCTTTCTGCTTATAAAACTCAAAAGCAGCCCGTTAACTGGAGAGAACACTTTTTTCTTTCTTTCTTTCTTTCTTTTTGTCCAGGGTGGTCCTTTCTTCTTTAAAAAAAAAAAAAAAGAAAGAAAGAAAGAAAGAAAAGAAAAAGAAAAGAAAAAAAGAACGGGGGCCCTGAGGGGAGCAGTTGGGAGAAAGGACACAGCTGTGCATGGTTAGGGGCAGGGCAAATGCTAATGGGTTCAGAGTGGCTGGCGCCATGGAGTCAAACCTGAAAGCCACCGTGTCACCCATACTTTGCTAAGCCACAAAAAGGAGACCATTCTCCTCTTGGAGAGAAGTGTGCCAAGGGCTTTATCCCTTTATTGGATAGGTAAACAGAAGTAATTAAATTTCAGAGAGGAGATGTCTCCATCTAGGGAAAGGGAATGAGGGATGAAAGGAAGGGTAGGAAGAGAGGAAATAGCCATGTTGAAATCTCACGCACAGGCCATTCGATGAGAAGTGTCTATGGAAACTACTAGCATTCCTTAGATATTTTCTGATTTAGCTGTTTTCTCATGTTTTCTTTCTCCCTCCTTCCCACCCGCTTTTCCTTCTCCTTTTAAGTCAGCAATTAGTTCTGTTCTTTTGGCTAGTGGTAATCGTTGCTTGAGGCTGACAAGACACCCACTGGTTTTTATTCCACTGTTTTTGTTTTTCAAGATAGTCTTTCAAGTCACTTGGAATTTCTTTTTTTAGCCATTTGCTTGTGGCTGAGCTGCCTGAGTGTATTCATACCAATCCCCGGGGAATGGGTTCCAAATCCACTGACCCCTGGTGGTGACAGAGCAGCCTGCCCCTGTTCTCCAAGAAGACTTTTTCCTGTAGCTACAATGACAAAAGAAAGTGTTGCCCTTAGTAGAGCTGGCATATTTCCTACCTACTAGCTCAGCTGCTTTGATCATAAATGGTTTTGAGGAAAATCAGAGTCACATCTTTAAGGAACAAGATGATTGGGTTGGCCCAGGCATCCAGCGCTGCAGTGTTTCATATCAGAGTCCAAGCCACATGCAGCTACTTAAAATTTAATTTTCATTAATTAAAATTAATACAGCTAATGCTTCAGTTCTGCTGTTGCACCAGCCACGTTTTATGGATGCAGTAGTCACATTGTATTGGTCATTGCAGATAGAGAATATGTCTCATAGTACAGAATTGGATAGTACCACTATAGGGTATTTGTACATTAACATGAAAGCAACCTTGAGTCCCTTACTGATACATTCATTCCTTGGCTTGATGTAAACCAAGATTCAGTAATTAGGGGATGAACCCTTGCAGAAGTATTGGTATTGTTAGCCTTGTGTATCATTCTACCTCACTTTGCAACTATCATAAAGTAACTATCATAAGTAGGTAATACACTGGTGTAAGATATATTTCTAGTCAGTCAAAAAGAATACCAGTCACTCACACTTGTAATCTTAGCTACTCAAGAGACTGAGATCTGAGGATCACAATTCAAAGCCAGCCCTGACTGGAAAGTCCATGAGACTCTTATCTCCAATTAACTACCAACAGCTAGAAGCAGAGCTTTGGCACTAGCCTTGGGCACAAAATCTCAGGGATAGCACACAGGCCCTGAGTTCAAGCCCTGGGACCAGCACAAAAAAAAATTTTTTTTAAAGAACACCTTGAAAAAACACTAAGTAATACAACAACAATAATAATAATAATAGTGATTATTGCCGTCATCAATGTCATTATTGTTAAGAACGAGGCATACCTAGAGTTAAATAGTGCTGTGCCAGGTCAGTTTGATAATCCTCAGGTATATGGTGTTCCTAAATATGTATATCAGCCCTTTGGTTAACCTTATCAAGTTTGATCACAGTGTTACTTCATGCCAATAATATCAAATCATAGAAGTGATATAAGGAAAACAAGCAAAGCCACTTGGGGTAGAATACTATCATGAAAGGACCTTTACTCCATTTATATAAAGAATTAATAGAATGGTTCTTTCACCCTGGGTTTAAAAATTAATTCAGGTGGAGTAAGTCAAGAACCTTAGCATTCAGATTTAACAAATGTCAGCTATTCCTTCAAATTTAAGTTGTAGACTTTTGAACTCCTCAGTGGGGCTGTTTTGATGCAGATTGGGTCAAAGATAAAGGACATTAGAGTGGAAGGTCAGAGCTGTGGTTCTCTATGGCTATGCATAGAAGCGGATTAAATGTCAATGGTTGGTGGATGTTATTGGCAAAGTCCAAGGAAATAACTGATCAATGAACTTACTTATGATTTGGCTTGATTTTTGACCATGAGCTAATAGTA